CCCAGGAGGACAGCTTGAGGCTCTGTCTCAAAAAAAAAAAAAAAATAAATAATAATAATAATAAAGTAAAATTTAAAAAAATAGCCAGGCATTGTGGCAGGCACCTATAGTCCCAGCTACTTGGGAGGCTGAGGCAAAAGAATCACCCAAGCCCAAGAGTTTGAGGTTGCTATGAGCTGTGATGCCATAGCACTCTACCTAGGGTGACATAGTGACACTATGTCTCAAAGAAAAAAGTAATAATAAATAAATAAATAAATAATATCCAGGGCAGTTAACTGCAGAAGGAATAGGAATTCCAAAAACAAGAAACAAAGCTTAGAGAACTTAAAACTAATAGAAAGCATTATTTCCTGCATGAAAACAAATTTCTAAACTAGAAGGGCCATGAGTACCCAGCAGAGTGAGTGAATCACCGGCCCAGAGGGCACATGAGAGGGAAACTTCAGAGGGTGGTCCCAACACCCTTCAAAGAAAACCAAGTTACCCAGGAAGGACAGTGAGTCACAAAGTTACTAACTGTTTACTTTTAACACTGGAAGCTAAAAGAAAATAATAGTGTCTCCCAAAAAAGAAACTTAGTTTGAATCTAGAATGTTACATATAGCCAAATACTGAAGCATGAAGGGTTCACAAAAAACAAATGTTACTTTCAGACACACAGTGTCCAAGGCCACCTCATTTGATACACTCTTTCTGACAGTACACTAGAGGGTATATTCTGTCACAAAGGGAGAAAAAGATTAATCCAGTGAATACGTAAGAGGCTAAGGTAGTTTTCAGAGTGACTCTGGCAGCAGGCTGGGGGTCGGAGGGGAAGGGAGGACAGCCACAGCCAGACTCCACAGCAACTGGCACAGGGAGGGCCAGAGGAAGGGTTTGGGGATAGGGGTAGGTGGTTGGGAGTGGGGAGCAGAAACTCCAGAGCAGTCACATGGGTGGCCTCTGGGGTCTATTGGCATGGCAGGGATCTCACAGCATGATGGAGAATATGAGGTGATGAATTAGCCACAGGCACCCAAGATGCTACCAGCCCAAGCAGCATGAAAACTCAGACAAGAGCCAGAGCAGCACAGCACACCCCAGACTGGGGACAGTGTAGTGCTATCCTGCAGATGTTGCCTGGAGGCACTGCAGCAGCAGGGACAGCGGTATCAAGAAGCACAGTTCACCAGCTCGGCACCTGTGGCTCAAGCAGCTAAGGCGCCAGCCACATACACCTAAGGTGGCGGGTTTGAATCCAGCCCAGGCCCACCAAACAATGACCGCTGCAACCAAAAAATAGCCGGGCGTTGTGGCGGGTGCCTGTGGTCCCAGCTACTTGGGAGGCTGAGGCAGGAGACTCGCTTGAGCCCAGGAGTTGGAGGTTGCTGTGAGCTGTGATGCCACAGCACTCTACCCAGGGGGACAGCTTGAGGCTCTGTCTCAAAAAAAAAAAAAAAAAAAAAAAAAGAAGCACAGTTCACCTTCACAGCTGAAAATAAGATCTGCTATTAAACAAGATGAAGAAAGAGAAGGAGGAGCCTGCTGGTTACTAATACAGAGCACAAGAGAGGGTGGGAGGAGCAGTGACTACTCTCCCGAAGTGATTATGACAAGAGCAAGAGAGTAAAACAAAGGACCACTAACTGCTCTCTTCCCAAAGCATTTAAACAGGCAGCCTCCCCCAAGTCTTGAAACACTGTTCCCTCTCAAAGGACAGAGCTCCACAGAGAAAGGTGACCAGCCACCATGGCCCGGCACCCAACACTCCAGGCAGCAGCCAGACAGCCAAGCTCTTGTGACCAAGTTGAGAGGCACCTGCTTGCCAGGGAAAGTCCATCTGAGCATTAAAGACAGCAAACAGATGAGGCACCAAAGTACAAATAAGTGGGACCCACATTCATGGGACCTGTGTTCATGATCACACTACTAATGGCAACTAGAAAGGACAGACCAGGACAGGTGAGGTGGCTCACACCTGTAATCCTAGAAATCTAGGAGGCCAAGGTGGGAGGATCACTTGAGCCCAGGAGTTTGACACTAGTCTGAGCTAGGCTGATGCCATGGCACTCTAGCCTGGCCAACAAAGTGAGACCCTGTCTCAAAAAAAGGACAGACTGGTCATGTGAGGGGATGCTAGTGAATCAGCTCATATACTGAAACTAATAAATTACAGGAAATAATCAGGTGTTTTCTTGCCTTAACTAAAAGGTAGTTTGAAAAACCAAACTAGATATGTGAAGGAATAAAAGAACTGCATTACAAGACACTAACCATTCTGTGACCCCTAACGGAGGAACAGACCAGAGCACTGGTCCCCACCCGCTATCAGTCCCAGAAGACCTGCCATGCTGTTCCTGCTGAAAGGAGAAGGCACCACACCAGTAAGTTGTCTGGTTGGAGAAGAAAAACCCACACGTCCCAGCAGGTCTCAACTTCCTGTCATGTTACAAGAACTCAAGGATCAAAAACACCGGGAGACAGCCTGCAAGACTCAGCCTGAGAAAAGTCTACAGAGCAGGCAACCCGAGCCCAATAGATCTGTCCCAGGAAGCACAGTGGGGCGTCTGAGTGCCATGTGCCCTCAGGGCCTCAGGTTGCCCAGGACGGGCGCACCTGCCTCTCGCAGTAGGCCTTCATCAGCTTGCTCAAAGGGGTGTGTCTCTTGATCTTGAACTGCACCACGGAGCCGTCCTGCCCCGCCACCTTCAGGTTGATGTGGTCATTCTCTGTCTTCACTCCCTCCTGCAGAAGAGACAGGAAATGGCCTCAAAATGACATCTCAAAATAACCATTTCTGGGGCAGGCATGGTGGCTCATGCCTGTAATCCTAGCACTCTGGGAGGCCAAGACAGTGGATTGCCTGAACTTATAGACCAGCCTGAGCAAGAATGAGATCCCATCTCTAATTCTTAAAATTCTCTAGCAATTCACAGTTGCTCGTGTGATTGTTTTATTTTTACACAGAGTTTAACTT